AATGTTGTTTATGACAATCATCACAATTTCACTTCCAGTTATCATTTTAGACAACTGAGAGAATCTACGCACCAATTTATCATAAGAAATAAAGTATAAGAATATTAACAGAGAATCCTAGGATGCAATTATATGTCAACATGTTGTAAAATGGCGGCGTTGGCCGTGGGGGAGGTGGTCGGGGACTCAGAAGGCGTATGGCCATATCTGTGCCAACCACCCTCTGACGATTCCAAAACAGTAGGCGTTCCCCCTACAATCAGATTTATGCTATAATAAAATCTAATACAACCTATCTCAAGGTTAATTAATGCAAATAATATTTCATATGTAATGACTAATGAATACTTTAATAGAGAACAATATTTTAAACAACACGAGTAACAGACCTTGTCCTTTTAATTTACCATAACTTTTCCTCGATGGTCTCCCATATCGGGCGAAACGGAAGGGTGTGACTTATGATTTTACTTTTTTTTTTTTTTTTTTTTTTTTTTTAAAGTGTAAACGACATGAACCCACCCATGGTTTGGTGAATTTACAAGTTCTCACCCATAGTTTCATAAATTCTAGATTTCTACCCTTAAATTAACACTGTTAATGAATTTTGACTTCTGACACAGTTGCAAACAGTGCTATTACCATATTGCCCTTAACTTTTGATTACACCGCCATCCAGCCACCATCACCACTACCACCACCTTTCAACACCATCACGACCGAAACCCCAAAGTCACCATCATTCCACCCATCCACCACCATCGAAATCTCTATAAACCCCAAAGTTAGCCCCGTCGTCACCAAACAACCACCAAATCACTCACAAATTCAGCCACAAACCCACCAAACCCACCACAAACTCAGCTACAAACCCATCCAAAAACAACCACAAACCGAGCCCACCACCACCATTCCACCCATCCACCACCACCGCAATCCCTCTAAACCTCAAAGCCAGCTCCACTGCTACCAAACAACCACCATCAAGTTACTCACAAATTCAACCACAAACCACCACCCACTCACAAATCTGGGAAATTAAAGATGATTGCAAGCAAGAAACATTAACCGGTGTGACCTGAGATGGTAAACGATGTGTCAAGGGAGAAAAGAGGAGCTTGATGTTGGCGGTGGATGGCAGACTCAGTGAAAACGCAACAAACTCAGGCACGCATCACGATGGAGAGATGCAGAAGGGAAAGGTGGAAATGAAAGCTGTTGGTGGCAGTGTTGGTGGGGTTTTTGAAGAGGATGGTGAGAGGAAGATGATAATGGAGTCAGGTGGTTAAATCGACGTCGGAAACCGTCCAATCGGGCTTGAGAATAGTTGATCGAGCAAGATTGGGGGTCACACAAACATTGCAAAAACGGTGCAAGATCAGTCCGAAAACGAACCAATCAGGCTTGGGAAAGGTGTAATAAGTGATGAGGAGATGATTTATGCCGATTTTGGTGCACATATCGACTAAAATCTAGGAGTGAAAGGAGGGAGACAGAGGGACTGAGGGGTGGGACAGCTGTGTGTTGACCATTTTACCCTTTAATCATTAAATTAAACAATTTTTAGTTAATTTAACAGTGGGAATTTGGAATTTATAAAACCATGGTGGGAACTGGAGATTCGCCACCTTGGGTGGGTAAATGTGGTTTACTCTTTTTTTACCCAATTGAATTATTCTCTCTATTTACCTACTCCGCTAATTATTTTATCTCACTCTTAATCCCTTAATTAAAAATTCCAAGTGGGTCTAAGAAATAATAAATCCCTCATCACTCTTTAAGAAGCCACACAGAGATCTGAAGTTTGAACTCACGGCATATCAAAAGCACAAAAAGGCGCCGTTATCCCGATTTGACTAATCAAAATATCCAAAGCGAGAGTTGATATTGATAGTGTCTTCTGCACCAGACGCAAGGGCTGACGACCATATAGAAAATAGTAGGCGTCATTAATGTAAATAAAAGTCCAGCTTGGTATTTGTCGACTTAAAGTTAAAACTGAGGTTCTTTCTCTCTGCGTCACTGGTTTTGTTTTCTTTCATTTTCGAGTGCTACTAGTATTCGTGCAGAAATGCTCACGACAAATATGTGTACGGTGTTTCAAAACGCGTCAATTGGGATAAGGATTTATTATTCTTTAGTTTTAAATATTTAAATACAGTATATAAGCATTTCAATTTGTGTTAAATATAAATTTTAATAATTACAATTTTTTTAATATTTATTTTACAAATACTTTTTTTAATTTTTAACTTAAACAAATAGCTAGTAGACATCTACAACTTGCAAGCCTTTAAACACATTTAATTTTATTGTTACAAAAATCCGCAACAACAAAAAATATCCAATCGACCAAGATGGGACTAGGTAGGATGTGTATAATTACAGGTAATTAGCTACGTAATGGAGTTTATGCTAAATAATGAAAGATAAACGAGATTTTTAAAGTGGTTCGACGGGTTAAAACTAAATCTATGTCCACTGCTATCTTATTATTTAGACTTAGATTACGTGCAAGTAAATTACAAGGAGGGAACCGTAATAGCGAGCTTACGAGGCTTCGCTAAGTAGGCTCTTTGTTTAAGTGTGTTTTTCCAAGGTTTTTATAAGGTTATGTATGTGTGTCCCCTCTAAAATGGAGGTGATACAATCCTTTTATACCTGCATTCTGATAGTAGTTGAGAGTTGGTAGGTTACTGTATGGATTACACGTATAATCCCCTGTAATTTGAACCTCAGTCAGTTTTGCCCATACTTAAGTTAGAGTAATGATGTTTAGGTCTAATGGACTTATTGACTAAATCATCTGTTGCGGGGGCAACACATGGGGTGATCATGTCCGTTCGGTCTTGGCATCGTTCGCAATCAGTTGGCGCAAATCAGACCGTGAGAAAATCATGCACAACAAATTCTTGAATCGGATCGTTGGAAAATCATGCACAACAAATTATTTTAAAAACGTATATTTAATCAATATATTTCCTAAAGCGTTTCTAATTATTTATACTCATGCTAAATGCATACTCAGTATATAAATAATTGATCAACAATATCGGGTTTTACAAATATTCGATACTGACAAAAAGCTTTTATTAAAAAGATGCTCAGCTTGGCTCATGTTAAGAATTTCTTGCTCTTTCGATCTGAAGTTTCTACGAGTGATCCATGCAGGTACCATTATGTTGACCAATACTCCATGCAACAGAACACAGAAGTTCAAAATTCTCCTTGACTAATTCATGTGCAGTTATTAAAATTAAAGTATTATTTATTTATGTATATATATATATGTGATCCAGACCAGACCCTGTGTGAATGTTGAATAGAATTTGTCCAAAATTTCAGAACAACCTTTTAAAAGTATTTCATCCTATGCTTGCTCCAATCAGGACTTGTGTCTGAATCTTTGAATCCAAAAGTGGATAGGTAAAGTTGATTTTGACGAAGCAGTTTCTAGGAAGGACGGTGAGCGTGTTATGTGAGATCCCGCATTACGGCATTAGTCATGCACTCATGCTTCTTCTAAAACAATATGATTAAGGATTAAAATAATTCCTGCATTATTACAAATACACAAAATAAGATTTCCCACTAAATGCTTAATTTCCGTGTCCTACCCACAGGTCTTGAATTTGAATCTTTTCTCGATTACTAATAAGATAGTTATTAAAGTTTTTATCCGATTGATAGTTCTAAAATTTTAAAAGATTAGTTAAAATATCTGTAAGTGAATTCGAACATTCGCAATCAATTAAAAAAAAAAAAAAATCAATGATATGGGCATAAATAAATAGAAGGGTAGTATTAATTGTGATAGCGTGACACGGTGCGTGATGTAAGATCGAGGAAGGTGAGTATGTTGTGAATCAGCAGTACGGATAGTGTGTGAAAAGAGGAAGCTTACACTCAACTTACTTAGAACTGGATCATATATGGACCGCGTATATTTACTCACAAGGCGCCGCTTGAGTTGAGAGTACTTGCCACGCACGTTTCTTATCTTCCGACTCTTCCACTGTATTAACCATTGTACTTTTCTTTCTTACTTGCTTTCATACTTAATTCCCCTATTACGTCTCCACGCGCTCTGCTTTACTGTAGCCTAACCGCCATCTACAAGTTGTTTGGTACAACCAATCTCTATCTAACTATCCGACTTTTATTAAAGTATTCAACTTCGATTTTATGTTTTATTGACTCACTACTTATTATATAAACTATTTAACTTAAGAATTTATTTTTTATTAGTTTACAAAGTTATTTCATTTACTAGTGACTTTAATAACAGCTTGTGAAGTAAGTAAAATAAAAGTCAAACATCATAAATTTCAGATACATGAGTATATAAAAGTCTATATTATTTAATTTTTTTGATAAATAGAAAAAAAAAATTGTTTGATTGGGATATGTAATTTAGAGTGGCTTTTATTGAATTTTTACAAATTCTAGCATAAGTCTAGATACAATGTTTCTAAAAATAAAAAATAAAAAAATAAGTAATTTTGTTGCTAAAATCTAAATCATGAATTAATCAAGTCATAAATGGTTTAGTCTATTCAAACTATAGAATATTGTCGCACTTTCACAGAACTGTACATAATTTGAATTATTTCAATGTTTTCATAATTTCTCTTGATATTTTCAGCATGTATTTGGCACGCGCTATTAGTGCGCCTCGAATAGAATAGATATCTAGAATCGTCAATGCTGAAGGAAGACTGCTGGCTTCAAACGGCTCTTTACCAAGTTTAGATCATCACATACGCGGACACGCTAACGAACGTGGCACACCCGGCGTTCGTACTTTCTTATCCATAAGTTCGGTCATATTTACACTAGAACCATCATGATTTTTCTTAATCCCCAAGTCATCAAGGGCATATCTGCCATCTAGTCAACGACAGATACAGGTCATACTTCGCTAACTTACAACCTATAAATACAACTCCCACATGTATCAAGCTCCATTCCATTCAACAATCAACAAAACAAACTCACAAAGTAGAGTAAATCTTTTAGTTTTCAGATTCATCAATTCAGTTCACACTTAAGCGTCATGAAGAGAAGCATTGCAGAAATTGAAGGTGAAGTTAGAGCCATGGACATGGCCAAGTGTTTGATGTTGCTCTCTAAGGTTGGCGAAACCGATTCGGGAAACCGTGTCTTTACGTGCAAAACATGCAACAGGGAGTTCTCGTCATTTCAGGCGTTGGGCGGGCACAGAGCTAGTCACAAGAAGCCGAAATTGATGGGAGGAGAGTTATTTGATAATTCCCAGATGCCTGCTTCTCCTAAGAAGCCTAAAACACACGAGTGTTCGATTTGTGGGCTTGAGTTTTCCATCGGCCAAGCGCTTGGTGGCCACATGAGGAGACACAGGGCTGCTATGACTGGTGATGCGTTGGTTACTCGGCCTCTTTTGCCGGTTCCAGTTCTGAAGAAATCGAACAGTAGCAAGAGAGTTCTGTGCCTGGATTTGAACTTGACGCCGTTCGAGAATGATTTTAAGTTATGGGTGGCTTAGATTAGTTTATTGTATCTTAGATACTAGGTTTAGTTTCTTCTTCTTTGTATTTACCAACTTGTTGGAATTTTGTTCCGGTATTTGTTCATTTGTTTCTACCGACAGTCACAGATATATATTTTCGTTTAATTTCTTGTATATGATTCAGACTTGTTTCAGTGAGATATTATCTATGATTCTATTTGAGTTATTTTATTTATTTAAACTTTCCTCAGCAGTACTGAATTTTATTCTTCTTTTATTGAGAGGTTTCTGCATATTTAAAATTGTTTGATTTTCTTCAATTCATAAAGTTTGCCTGGGCATGCATCTGTACAAATTAAAAGGAAACCATCCTTCCTAACTAATTTGCCGTTTGTCATGGCGTAGAACATTTGCAGAGTGATATTCTCTCCATTTTATGCATCTGAATTTCTCAATATCAACCTTGATTGCCAGAGGAAGAAGATATAATTTAAGTTTTATTACTTAATAGTATGTATAAGTATAAAAAGCAATATCAGAATACTAAAATTATACACCATGTTATGTATTCTACTGTATTTTTTGCTTAATATATCCTATCCTTTATGCTTCTCAGTCCATTAAACAAATTATATTTCGAATGAGTTGGAGAATCTATTTGTGAAAAAATAACGAAAATGATTAAACCTTTACGTGTTTGGAGTTTAAAAAATAAAATAAAATAAAATTTAAAGAAGAAAATGTATTTCAATTTCAATCGCTTTCATCTTGATCACGCCAATTAAGCAATCTATAATGCCTATATATTATGATAGGCAAAAAGTATCCAATCACACCTCACTTTATCAAGTGCCGAAACTTCTTCAACCGTTTTTAGTTTATCTAACATAGTATTCTAAAGAGAGTAGTAATCAGATAAGCTCCAGCCTATACTAAAATATTGTTTTCTCTTGTTTCTTTATTTTATTCTCAATTACGTCAATTAACCACTACAAAGTCTTATTAATTCGTACTAGAATTAATGACTTTTTACCCAGTCAAATAATGATTTAATGACACTTTTTTATTCACAAACTTTTAAAATATTATTTTAATATCTAAATTTATGTTTCAACAAAGAACAAAGAGTAAACTCGATCCAGACTATTAGAGTTTTTAAAAAAGAGTAGCTGATAAGTCTTTTGATGGTGAATGTTGGATTTTAATAATTGAAATTGATCAGAATTTGATTTAAGAGGGGTAATTATGTAAACTTTAATCGTTCGATTGTCGACGATTAATAAGGTTGGCGAGAATAAGATTTAAGAGGTTTTAGTAAGTGATGATGAGGAAGAAGAATAGTGATAGTGTGTTATCTGAATCGAAAACGAAATATAAATTTAGATAATAAAATAATATTTTAAAGGTTTATAAGCGAGAAATTGTGCTTACTTTTCGCAATTTTCTTAAAAATCATAAACATAAACAACGTTAACACTAACTTTTTCTTAACGATTACAGGCCGAAACTTGATTGGCTACATAAACAAGTAACCTAATTTTTTACTCTTTCATATTTTATCCATCCATATTCGGCCACGTGTTATGGTTACAAAGTCCACCCGTTCGTTTAAGATTCTTTTACTATTGCTATATCCAAAAGACCAAAAACTCCCTCAACAAGGTGGTTTCACAAGATCAACGGCTTGTATTCATCATCCACCATACACGTGTACGACAAAGATGACATGCAACCTTGACTTACTGATCATGCAGGTGTATTCTATTTTTATATTTCGAGAAAAAATCAAGTGCTCCTCACGCACACCACATTAACCGTTTGTTCTTTAATTTATCGTCGCCGGTATCGCTTCGCCGGAAATTCGAGGCGCTGCCGCCTACGATCAACTGTACGATCAGGTTTCCGGTGATCGTTGAAGGTACGCATACACAGTCGAACAATTATTTGTACACATTTATTGAGTTGAAATGAATTGCATGTAAAATTCTTAAAATCAAAGCACTTTTCTGAGAAATGAACGGCCGTTGTGGAATTTTTTGTGTTTACATAAGCTTTGTGTACTGTTACCGTGTAACGTTAATTTTCTATTTTGTAAGTGTCTCTGTGTGTGTTGTTTTTTTGAGAAAGAGCGTGAAGGATTTTGTTAGTAGGCTAAAACGACTGTCGTTTGTGTGTTCAGAGGTTGCTTGGAATTTTGAATGAAAGAAGAGTGGAAAGTGGAAAGTTTAGTGTACGGATTGAAGACGAAAAATGGTACGTTCTAGATTTTTTTTTGAAGCTTCTTGCAGTATTTTTTTAGTATTTTATTATTTATCTGTACTTCTTTAATTAGAACTTATATTTTAAATATAATAAGAAGAAAATTAGTTTAAATATATATCATGGAATGTGATTGTGAAAAGGGAAAACTTTAGTGTTTTAGTGAACATTCGAAGGTGAAATTATGCAGTGGACCTTGACTGAGTTTGGATAACAGTCTCTACTTGAGGTACTAATTGCGAATCAATTTTTAGTTCAATACTCAGAGCAGTATAGACAGTGCTTCGAAATCAGTTAAGTATTGGAGACTTCAGAACACATCTTTCATTGTTTTCAGTTGAAGCTACTCCAGGGAGAGTAAATTTGGAGGGTTTGCATTTATTACTTGTAGTATCTCTTTTTGAAGATTATTTTTTATCCACAAATTTGAGAAGAGTCTCCTTTATTGTAATTAACAAGTTAAATGATTTCTGGGAGCTAGTAAGTTAGGTTCCCATAGAATGCCAATCAATGGTGGTACTTGTGAAAGTATTTAGAAAGGATTTCCATAGTTGTTACAGAGAAATGCTTTTTGTTGCTTGAATATTGCCATTGGGCACGGTGAATGAGCTGGTTCCTAAAAAATGCTAGTGCCATAAATTTTTCCATTGGCTTTCTGTAAATGAATTGTTCCTGAATTTATAGATGCTATAAGTTTGCTGAATTTATTAAAGTATCCATTATACTGGTCTAACAACTTTCTCATCAAAAATTTTTTTTGTTTTGATGTGTAAATGTCAATCCTTATTGCTATTAGTGGGTAAAATATGGTTGGAAAGTGATATACCTATAAAAATAATTGTTTTATGTTTTATAGTAGAATTTGGTGCAAAATGATGGGGGACAAGGTTTTGTGAATTATTTTATTTATTTTATAGTAAATTTGATAATCAACAAGTGTACAATGGTCTTTTAAATATTATTGTTTTCAATGATATCGGTGAATATCTGTTTTGAGTTTTGAACATATATTACAATCAGAATTCAGTTTTGTTTACACAAAAGAGGGAAGAGCAACGGTAGTTGTATTCTGAGTTGTTGCCTGGATTAAAGTTTTTCATTGTTCTTGGTGAATGAAATGAGCAACTTCATAGTGATTGTTTCTAACAGTCTTTTCAGAACAAAGGATTTTGGATGGCAAAGGGTCCTGGGCATATAGCTGATGGAGATGCAGCATTTGATAATCCTTCCAGGATTGAACCAAAAAGGCCTCATCAATGGTTTGTCAGTACTGGTGAAGCAGAGCTGTTTCCAAACAAGAAGCAAGCTGTGCAAGCTCCAAACGACAAATCAAGTGTTGAAATATCTAATGCAAATGTTCCTTACTGGGGAAACACGTCTAATTTTCAATCAGTTCCAAACCAATTTATTGACCGGTTGCTTGGATCTGAATCTGCAAGGACCGTCGGTTTTACTGAAAGGAACTTATCTCCTGTTGGAACAGATGACATGAGAAGAAAGGGTATTGAGGAACATTTTGGAGAAGATGCATCAGCTGGATTGTCAATGTCTCATGCTATGGAAGATTCTGAAACATTTAGCTATGGTGGATATAGAAAAGTGAAAGTCAATCAGGTTAAGGACTCCAACAATGGTATGCATCCTCCAAAGGAACATAGTCTTGATATTGATAGTAATAATGACTTGTCTACAGCACATGCCTATAACAAGGAAATCCAAAGTAGTTATATGACAATGGGGCAAGCCTATAATAAGGAGGATGACAATGTTACATTGATGGGTCATACCTATAGTAGGGGGGATGTAAATATTAGATCAACAGGTCGAACTTATGGCAAGGTTGACGATGGTGCCATATCTTTTTCTGACACCTATCGGAAAGAAGATGCCAATATAATATCTTTTGTTGGATTTGATGACGAACATGATATTATCCCTGTGGGGCAGCCCATTAGTGGCTATGACCCACCATACTCTTCAGTTCAAACTTCAGAAGCAGCCTCTGGAAAGCAGTTGAATGCATCAAATGTGAATGCGTTTGCAGCCGTGCCTCGAGTTGCTAAATCAAAACTTGAATCTGTATCCAAGAATAAACTAGAGTTGAAAAGTTCCAGGAAAGAAGCTCCAAACAGCTTCCCTTCAAACGTTAGAAGTTTGATATCAACTGGTATGCTTGATGGGGTCCCTGTGAAGTATGTTTCTTTGTCACGGGAGGTAAATTCCCATTTTTTTTTGTCTGTTACTCTGATTTTTATGCTGTTTAGTGACTTATAGTTGTATCTTGGCATCTAACTAGGAGCTTCGTGGTGTTATAAAAGGCTCTGGTTATCTTTGTGGGTGTCAATTATGTAATTACAACAAGGTGAGTCGTTCAACTGTTTCTAAGTTTGCATGTGAAATTCTTGATGGCTAACAACTAGGATTTATGTGGTTGTATAAGGTGCTAAATGCTTATGAGTTTGAGCGCCATGCTGGTTGCAAAACAAAGCATCCGAACAATCACATATACTTTGAGAATGGAAAGACTATCTATCAGATAGTGCAAGAATTAAGGAGCACTCCTGAGAGCTTGTTATTTGATACAATTCAAACTGTTTTTGGTGCACCTATTAATCAGAAATCTTTTCGCATTTGGAAAGGTATGGATTCTTGTTTTGATTTTAAGAGTTCTCTGTATGCATTTGTATTTCCCTGACTTAGCGTGTCTGAGGATTTTGGTTGGGTGTGGAGTGGGTCTTGTTAAAAAGTTTTTTTCCTGCTTTGTATCATCTACTATTTTTCCACAGAGTCATTTCAAGCAGCGACTCGGGAGCTTCAGCGAATATATGGAAAGGAAGAACTGAACCTGTAAGATGCATAATGGGCATTTGGAAAGATGTAAGATAGAATAATCTCTGTGCATAGTAACAAGTATTTTGGTGGTAACTTATGTACTCTCT